GGATACAGGAGGCAAAGTTATGAAAACTTCCTAGCTATGACCAAACACCTTGAGGGAATGAGTTTGTCTTAGGGGCTTAGAATCACAGTCTCAGTTGGCATAACACAGTTCACAAAGATAATGTTCTACATCCTACTTTGGTGAGTAGCAAGTGGGGTCTTAAAAGCTAGTGAATAATTATCTAAGATGCAACTGTTGATCTCTCCCCATCTGGAGTAAACAAGAATGAAGAAAATTTAAGACCTAAATAATTAGTCTAGAGGACTAATAGATTATGTGAACCAGCCTCCACTACTCGGAGACCAGAAGAATAAGATGGTGCCTGGATATCACTATGGATCACTCTGATTGGGACCACAGAAGGTCTTGGACAGAAAGGGAGTAAAATGTAGAACAAAATTCAAAATCATAAAAACAACCAGACATAGTAGTCTGATAGAGACTGGTAGAACCCTCAAGACTGTGGTCCTTACCATAGTTGCAGGGGACATCAAGCTCAATTGGCATAACATACTACACAAAACATTGGTCCACCTCCTACATTGGCGAGTAGCGACTGGGATCTTAAAAGCTTGCAAGCTGCCATCTAGATGCAACAATGGGTCTCTCCTCCTTCAGGGCAAAGAAGAATGAAGAAAACTAAAAATTCATGGAAACAATTAGTCCTAGCGACTGGTACACCATCCGATCTGCAGCCTATATGACTATGAGACCAGAGGAACTAGATGGTGCCCAGCTACTACTGCCAACCACTTGGAAGGGGATCTATGTAGGAGATCCTTGATAGAGAGGGAGAACAATGTGGAACAAAACTTAAAATCATTTGGAGGGGGAAAAAAAAAAAAAAGAAGGTGAGGACCAGGTTTGCTGGTCCAATAGAGCCTGGTGGAACCACTGAGACTACGGCCCCTAGCTGCCTTTCAGATCTGGAATTGAACCCAGGCTTGTGGCTTCTAGCCAAACAATAGACAGGCATATGAGTTGAACATTTACCTTAGGTAGATACACTCCTTGGAGAGAACAATCATGGGAGAAAGAAGGGTTGCTTATGCACAGGGAGACAGCTCAGGGGGCAGGAGTGCATGGAGGGATGGAGACGGAAGAGGTAACTATCGGGAGGAAGTACGAGGGGAGGTGTTGCATTGTGGTAAATTGTGGTCAATGTCATGAGACAAAGTGTATGTGAACTGCTGTATGGAAAGTGAATCTGCTCTGTAAATTTTCACCCAAATCACAATTTAAAAAAAAAAAGGACTGGAGTTCTTAAATATCCTTCAAGCCTGGAATTGAACCCATCCCCAAGGATCACCTTTCAGCCAAACAACAGGCCTATAAAATGAACAATAACAATTGTGAGGAATGTATTTCTCCAAACAATTAACCATATGAGACCAAAGTGCAGCATTTGTCCCAAAGCAAAGCTCAGAAGGCAGAAAGGGACAGGGAAGAAGGATGAATGGATACAAGGAACCCAGGCAGGAAATGGGAAGAGTGCTATTACATTGAGGAAATTGCAACTGATGTCATGAAACAAATGTGTTTGGACGATCAAAGTTCCTGTTAGGTCATCCTTTCTTCATAACTACTGAGAAAAAATAATCAGAAAAGAAATCATTGAATAGTTAAAACCATTTTCACAAATGTATATGTAAATGTGTACTGTTGCATAAGAAAAACTGGTTGTGACGATTTTACTTATAATTATTATGAATTTGATATGTGTATGTGCACCTAAAATCAGGGTGTTTGGCATGACTAAAGATGACTGGCCCAGATCTAAAATTAAACTCCATTTGGGATTAAACTATATAAGTTGGTCTAAGAAGAATGCCTTCTTCAAATATGTTCCAGGAGGATAGGAAATAGAATTCATATGGTTAAGAAAGGTTGTACCTTACAGACACCCCCCCACCCTTGTAACTTTTGAGAGGAAGATATCAGGGCTTTAGTTTTTGTGAGGAATCATTTGCTAAAAGATGTCAAAGAATGTTTGTGAAGCTTATCCTAGGGACAATACTTTTAGTCAACATGTCCTAGGAGGTTAGGAAATACAATTGATATTGTTAAGTAAAGATGAAGCCCTGCAATTGTCTCATAACTCTGTAATCAAGATGAAGTAAATGTCAATTTACAACCAAGTCTTAGTTCTAATTTCCTGACTCGCTCAAACCAGACTTCCTTTTTATTCACTGACTGAGAGCTTCATTCTATTTCTACTAGCTCCTTGTGAATCTATAACTAAGGTAGAAGCACAGCTCATTAATATAAGAACAAGAGGCAAATGCAAATGGACTCAGTTGTTTTCAACATAATGCCTTGTTCAACAGCCCCCATGATGTTAACAAATAGACTTAATGATGTTCAGAAAAATGTTTTAAGAAAGTTTGACAGCCCCCTGTAAGTTTTTGCCTCACACCCTTCCTGTGCCTGTAAGCAGACACCTGTTTACTCCACCTGATAAAAACCTTCTGCAATTTGGAATTTATTGTACCCTGCTTTGGGTGCTATGATGTGTCCCATTTTGTGAAACTCTTCCATAATAAAACTTTTTGCTTTCACTTCTAATAGGGTGTCAGCCTGGCATTTCACTATGACACATATCTGTTGATTATTTTTACAGCAGAGTCAGGTTTATCCATTAGGTGATTTTAGCTAGTTTTTCATGCTATTCTTGATTGGGTAAACTAGGGATGGGTACAAGTGAAGGGCAGAAGAAATGTGTGTGACTAATGGAAATATACTCCTGCCTTTTCCAAGGGCTGAGCTTCAAGTTTGGGGGTTGGGAAAAGTTTCCAGAGTATTGGTCCAGCACCTTCTGCCTTCCCTGTGAAAGAATTTGCCCTTCTTGGGCTGGTGAAACCTTGCCCCATTTTTGCAGGCTGTTCACCTCTCTGGACACGAAACTCACCACTGACAATTTCTTCAAGTCAAGAATTTCTCTAAGGTTTTCCTGGACAATTGAGAATTTAATAGTGTGAAAATGAATTTTCAGAGTGAAATAAATCAAGGATTGGTGATGATGAAACTCCCTCCAGCTGTCTGGGAAAGCAAAAGCAGATGCTTCAAAGCATCTGCTTTCTGGGGCCTCCACCTTCCCCAGCCCATTTAGAAAGCTCTGGTAGCATGGTGCCTAAGGCATTTGACTGCTAACCAGAAGGCTGGTGGTTCAAACCCACCAGCCACTCCTCAGAAGAAAGGTTGGACAATCTACTTCCATACTGATACTGCCTTGGAAACCCAAGGAGGAGTCACTATGAGTTGGGTCCAACTCGACGATGCAACAGCAGTTAACAACAACAGCTCTGGAAAAGCCTCTTTTCCACCCTATGGCCTGGGAGAGGTGCATGGAGAGGAGCCTTCTGGCAAGAGCTTTGCCAGGAAGCTGTTAGCTACACCCATCCTCACTCCACATTGCTCACCCTGCTCGTAAGAAAGCTTCATTCTCACCTGGCATTTTTACTTCTTCCCTTGCTGTGTTCCGAGATGTAGGTTTCGTTTTTGGTCTAGAAAGAAGTGGAAAGGCCCAGTTTCAGGACAATGATTATTATGCTCTCCTTTGAAGAGATTATAGCCCTTTTTGCACTCTCACATGCCCTCCTGCCTAGGCTGCAGTGATTCTAAGAACTTTGCTCTCAGTTGCAGTAACTCCCAGGTGTATGGATTCTACCTTTTCCCTTCAAATGCTAACTAAAACACCAAATCTTTAGGGAAGCAAACAGCCTCATCTTTCTCCTGAAGCATCCTGATGGGTTTTAACTACCCACCTTTTGGTTAACAGCCAAATGCCTTAACCACTGTACCACCAGAGCTCCTTAAATGCTAACTGGAGGCTTGGAAAATAGATCCAAGAGTGCCAGGAAGAATCCACGTTGTGATTAGGAACCCAGGAATGTGGATTCTCAGTGCTCTGACTTTGCTGCCCCCTCCTTTGGAAAGCTTGATTCTAACAACAGCTCCAATTGGCTCTTGGCTTCTGGTTCTGTCAGTCTCCTCTGGGGAAGAGAGTAGAACACCTCCTTCTGACCTGCTCTCAGAGGAAAATTGAGGATTGGAAGCCAGCAACTCACCAGAGAGATGGTGGAGCTAGGGGGCAGGGTGTGGCAGAAGCGTTTGAGTAAAGCCTCTCGTACCTGCAGGAGAAGTAATTGCCGTGGTCATGCCAACCAAAGTCTAGCCTTTTCCAACTGCAAGTCAGGAGGGGCTTAGGTGAGCAGACTCACCTTCTTGTCCATGAGGCAACCAAACAGTAAGATGAAGACACCCTGAGAAGAGGAACATGGGGAAAATTTGGTCAAGGCATCAACCCAAATCAACTTGTTCTCTTCTTCCCTTCCCTGAATGTCTTTCCTCTCATCTAATTTACAGCTTGAGGCTTTCTATCTCACTTTTTCTGTACATTAACATTGGTGCATAGGATCCAATTCTGGTGCTTTTTCTTTTTTATAATCCAAACTCTTTCTTTCTCTCTTTTTTTCTATTTATTTATTTATCACCTTTACTGAGAAATAATTCACACAAAACACAATTCACCGATTTTAAGTGGATTTTGATGACATTTCTCCCACCCCTTCCTGCCCCATCCCCTGCTATCTGGTGCTTTTCTTACTGGAGTTTTGTTGTTGTTTTGTTTTTTTACTGTAATAGTTGTGAAGAGGCTATCCAAGGATTGGATACTGACAATTCCCTGGCATAGTAAAGTCCATGGGCCAGAATCAGTCACATCTGGTTCAAGTCCACTCCACTGCTGCTTAGCTGTGTGACCTTGGGCCATTATGTAACCTCTCTGCACTCAGTTTCCTCACATGTAAAATGGAGATAGGAATACTACCTAGTTCACAAGATTGTAGGAAAGATGAAACGAGATCACAGCATATGTTAAGAACATGTGTGACATCTATAGTGCTATACTTGCTCCTTAATAACCCTCTACAGTGAATTCTCAGATGAATAACTGTTGATGTTAATGATTGACGTGATCTCATTCACTCTTCCAATTATTAGAGACTGAGTTATTTGACAGAGAAGAAAGGCAATGAGAAAAGAGTGACCATGTTCCAGGTGCAAGCTCTCGAAAGAAGCAGGAAGCAGGTCAGTGAGCGCACTCAGAACCAGATTCTTGGATTCTTTATTATCACTTGGACTCCTGGTGGCCCTCTTGTCCATTGGTTTCTCCACCTAAAAAAAAAATTATCTGCCTCTACAGACAATGGTCCTATAAGTTTATGTGAATGATCAGAATTCCCAGGTGTATAGTAGAGCTGACAAGGGGCAAGG